GCAGTTTCCATGGTCTGCCCTTTCTGTGCTAGGTCTCCTCCTGTATGCTGGCCCCTCCTACACTGTCATCCTCAGGACTTTGCACCCCTCCTGAGGACCTCCAGTAGTTCCTGATGTCTTCCCCATGAGACACCCCCTCCTAGGTAAGTCTGTCAACAATGGCCCCCTGATCCCCTCCTGGAATCCTCCTGTGTTCCTTCTGCTCTCTAGATCCTTCCCTGCTGCAGGTTGGGGCAGTATCCCTCCGTTTACTGTTCTCCACTCTTTCCCAAGCTGTAACACACACAGCCATGACTAGGGGTGGAAGCTCAGCTCACTGCCTCGGGGTGACAAATGTGAGGTGTTGTCTCTGTGAGGTGCAATCGTTGAAACCTCACTTTCACACTCAGGAAATGCAGAAATTACTGTCTATGTCATGAGGATGTGATGACAACTCAGGGAGCATAGTGTTCCTGGTCTACATTAAATATTCAGTAGTTTTAAACCACTTGACTCAAACAAGATTTTAGGTCAGATGAACCTGGGTTCAAGTCTCCACACAGTTATTTGCAGTCATATATTTCCAAGCCAGAATTTCCACTTGTTAGAGCTCAATTTCACCATTAACTATATTAAGTATGGTAATATATTTATTCTTTTATTCATACAAGTAACTGTTGTGTCCCTGCAGCATGCTCTGTGCTAAAAGACAGAAATAGATTTAACGGGTGCACAGCCATATTTGGGGACACCTGCCAGGCACAGATACAGAGCTGCCGAGGCTGACTTAGCTTCAGGCAGGACTCACTGGCTCCACCCAGCCCTGGTGATTCTCTGCCCAGGCCGGAGGGCCTGCATGTAGCTTTGGATCATTTCTTTTCCCTTTTGACTGGGGGTTGGGGGGGAATGGTTGTCATACAGCACTGCATGAGCTTAAGGCGCGCAGCATGATGATTTGATGTACATATGTCACAAAACGATGACCACAATAGAGTCAAACAACATCTGTTCAAACACTGCTTTGTAGTGGCGCTCAAGAGTCGCTTCATGCCCATTCTGAGGCAGAACATCTCCTCAGTGACTGATGTGTTGAGAACACAGAGGTGGGCTGGTCCCCTATCCTGAGTGTTCTGACTCCCCCAAACTTTATGTCAGCTCAAAAGGAGTCACAAGTTCCAGTGGGGGTCTGATGAGTGGCTCCATCCAGTCTTATCTATTTACAAGTGATAACAAGAAAGGGCACTCTTCCTCCAGCCCCCCCACCAAGAAAGAGCCCCAGGCAAGCACTTGGGGGATGGGGCTAACTGCAAACCTAGGTTCCTCCCCAGTTAAATGCAAAACTTTTTTTTTATAAGACCTTTAAATTTAAAGAGAACAAGTGACAGGATGCTGAAAAAAGCAGATTATCAGTAATGTTGTCACCCTTTGGCCATCTGTCCTTTTCCTTCCCCTGAGCAGCCTTTAGATCTTAAGCAAACAACTAGAGAAATGATGACCCATTAATTGTCCTGTTTTGCTGGCAAGACAGTTTCCGTTTTTCTACAGTTTCTATTCATAAAATGAATATTTTTAAAACCTTATTTGAGATAAGACATATGACAGTGTCTGAGATTTGTCTTTAAAACTTCAAGAAAAAATTTGAGGGTGGTGAATGAGTTATGATTGGCAAATTTAACTGTCAAGCTAGTTTCATCGATTTATTTATTAGATAATTGTCTTAGCTTTTGTGTATATGGGGAAATGACCATATTATAAATTTTGATAAAAGAAACTGGGAGGGGGAGATTAGATTTTAGAAACTACTTTAAAAAATTTAATATCATCAGAAAGGTTTGGATTCAATATCATCTCATAACAGTTTTAAAACTTGTCATTCAAATACTACTTTAGCTAACACATGATTTTAATCTATGACCCATTCAGCTCATCTAAAGTTTTTATTGATTTGAAATCACAAAGTACACTTTTATATATAACTACATTCTGCAATTAACATTTACTAATCACTCAGCATAAAAATGTATTCTCACAACTCCAGTTACTAAAGTCCATCTCTGAAAGAGGGGAGACAACCCCCCAGGTGTTGTGCCTGCTCAGGGTCCCCACTGCTCAGAACCAGGCCCCAAAGAAGCCTTAGCTGACAGGCTCACCAAATCCTTTTTGGTTTATTTCATAGCCTTTTTTTTTTTTTTAATAAACTTCACACTTAAAGGTTTAAAAAATTAATCAGTATCAAAAACCATTTCATCCTTAGAGGGAGCATGCTAGTTTGAGAATGTAGTTTTTATATTAAAAATCTCAGAACAATCAGCAGCAGACTTGTACATTAGCATCTTTAGTACTGAAAAAAGGGCCAGTCCTTATTTTGGCAATTGGAAAAATGGAGACTTATAATGTCCCCCAAAGGGGATTCTATCCCCTTCTTGGATTCCTCTTTAGACTGTGGCAAGTGCCACTATAACCTCAGGGTACATCTGCTACCCACCCTGCCGCTTCTTCTCATGGATCTGCATCTCATTGTTCTTTTTTAAAAAAAATATTTATGCACACAAAACTGGGGTACAAGCCAGAGATGCAGGGGTGAGAGAATTCACCAGAGACAGAGTGGGGAGCAGAACAAGCAGATTTAGTGAAATACACTGCTGAGGGGAGCAGCAGGTGAGACAGGAGAGGTCTGCTGCACCATGTGGGTCATCTCCCTGGCTGGGGATCGAACTTGTGATGCAGTGGCTGCATATAGTTTTATAGCACTGCACTTTAATCTGTTGTGCCACCAGGGAGAGCCCTGCATTTCATGTTTCCAAAGATCTAAGTGACTGAAGTGCTAAGCTTCAGCTGCCTCACCATCTTCATGGAGATAAAACAACGCCTCTCCGGAAAGATGCTGAGTGAAATGGTGCTCAATGTGGCACATTCACAGAAAGGAGGCTTGGTCTGATGCATTCTCAGAAAGCAGGGATTGAAACGTCTTCTTTTGTGTTCATGCAACTGGTTCTGAACATTGCGATCCATGGTGCTGGATATGACCCACCTCCTTCTCCTTCTCCAGTGGGGCCCCTCACAATCTCCCTGTACAAGGAACATGTAATATAAAACTTCTGTTGTCCTATGTAAATTTTTTGCTCGTCTTGGGGTTTTAATCTTTTGGTTTTGTTGTTCTGTTTTCAGCGAGGGGAAAGCTTGTTGCCTTGGTCACCAATGTTTAGCATCAGGGCTGACCACTCCCGCTGCTATCAGCACAGTAAACACTGGGGGGAGAGAATCAGCAGTGTCTCCATCACAGAGCCTGTCTGGTGTCATCGAAGGGACAGTCCTTGAGGCTCCACACAGACCCTGTTGGTCACAGCAGGCCACTGCCTATCTGGCTTTCCTAATAGAACCCAGAGGTCTGCTGTCTTACATGACTAAGGTGGAGGAAGGAAATCAGTGCATCTATTATACTGACCCATCTCATAAAGTTTCTTCCAGTATTGCAGTAAAGATTTCTTCAAATACAAAAGCTATTCAGACTCAACTTCCTTGGAAATCTATCTTCAATGTATCCATGAGAGGAGACTCCTATCAGACGGTCAGTGGGAGAATGATCCAGAGCTGCCCGGTTAGGTAAGGACAAAGCCTATTCATACCTTAGAGCCAGCAGGGGTGTTTGAAAGCCTACAGAATCAAATGCAATAAATGTGTGATTGTTACTTGGGGATGTGTGAGCTTTCTGGGTTTCAAATCTGTTTAAAGGATGACAACATTAATAAAAAAGTAAAGTTATGAAATGATTGCATAATATTATTTGCACCTTAATTATTTTATATAGTTATGTACCTACATGTGATGATTACCTTATAATTTATACTTTTGTGAGTTTTGCTATTTTTTTAATTTTTAAAGTGTCTATCTTTTTTTAAAATATTCTAGGGTTCTGGTTGTGATCAGTTTGACATTACAGATCATCCACTTGGGAAACAGTAAGAAACATTTCTAGTCTTAATTTTTATTGCACATTTGTTTCTCAATGGTTTCAGTCTCATTATCACTCTTTCTAAAAGGCTCTCCAAGAGAAAAGCACAAAGGTAGCAAAGAAGAAATCCACAATGTTACAGATCAGAAGCTCCAGCAGGAAACACTCAACTGGACTTCTGATGATTTGGGGAAGGGAAGTAAGAATGTGGAAGGATGGAAGAGGCACAATTCCCGTCCCTACATCCCGGAGTTCCAAGAGCGTAAGTGGCCAAGCAGCTATGGAGACTTTGTGGTCCTCTGACCTGCCTACTCTGAGTTCAGGATCTGAGAAAAAAAAACTAGGATAAAGCGAGAAACCCAATAAAGTCCATATTATCATCTTCAAATGATGATACACTAAAGTTAAAAAAAAAAATCCTGAAGAAGTGTTCTTCTGAACGAAAAATTACTATTTCAGTTGGTAAACGTTGCATTTGCCTTTAAAATGTTTATTGAAAATTAGTTTACACATTTTTACTTTCAAACAGGCATTTTTTCCTGCATCTCCAAAGAACTGTGATTTTAATGTATTTAAAACAACTATCACAAGTCAAAATAGGTAATAGCGGACCCTTGCTTTGCTTTTTGCAGACTCTCAGGCTTCTGACCCCACGTCCCCAGAGAACTCTTTGGTGGGAAGAGGGATGGGGCAGGAGAGCGAAGGAATTTTTTTTTTTTTTAAGTACCTTAGCACCCGTGGGTGGTCCCTGCTCTGGAGGCCTGTCTTTAATCACTGTGGCTTGAAGTCACAGCTTGTCTTTAACATGTGAAAGGAGTAGAAAGATAAAACCCTCTTTTGCAGGGGACTAGTTTCCTGTTTGGCTAGCAGGCTCAGTTCCCCGAACCGCCTGCAGCCCTAGTCGTTAAATGTACAAGCTGGGTTTACCTGAGCAAACACACTTAGCAGGGACCTAATTTTATTGCTTCCCGGGGAGATCTTGTTCGCCCTCCAAGGCGGCTGGAAATCGGAGGGCCGGGCAGGCTCTGAGCTGGAGCTGACACCCGACCCCCCTTCAACCTTACCCCAGGTGCGCTTCCGACTCGGCGCTGCTGTAGCAACGGCGGCACGTGCGTGCTGGGCAGCTTTTGCGTGTGTCCTGCCCCCTTCACCGGCCGCTACTGTGAGCACGACCAGAGGCGCAGGTGGGCCCGGGACCGAGTGCTGCCTGGCACGCGTGGGGGGCGCGAGAGTGAGCCCCGGGATGCGCGGATGAGCCCTTTTTGGGAGCAGCGTGATGGTGGAAGGCGCGCGGGGTTGGGGTGCGCGGGAATGACCGCGCAGGACACAGGGGTGAGACTGGAGGTGCTGGCGGCTCAAGAAGGGCTGTGAGGAAAGCCGGAGGGGGTGCAGGACTGCGTGGGGGCGGGGGCAGGGTCACAGGTGGCCAGCAGCCGCGCTCATGCCGCGTCTCGGTCCCTCCCACCCCTAGCCAGTGCGGCGCCCTAGAGCACGGAGCATGGACCTTTCGCGATTGCCGCCTGTGCCGCTGCGTCTTCGCCGCGCTGCATTGCCTGCCCCACCAGCCACCTGGCCACTGTGGTAAGGGCTCCCGCTCCGCCGCGCCCGCGGGCACTGGCTCCCCTTTGCCTGGCCCAGCCATAGAGACCTGCCTGTGTGGCCCCCGCACAGAAATGAGAGTACTGTCGTTGTTATAATTAGCATTTAAGATTTTGTGTTTTGGTTTCCCATATTTGAATTCTTGAGTATGTGTGATCTCCAAATCAGTGACTTGTATAGCCAGAGTTTTGGTACAGTACTAAATTTAGCGAGCAGAGCAGAGCTGAGCAGGGCGGTACGTCCGTTAAGTCCGAGTAAATCTGCAGGGGTTTCCCTGCACTGCTGACACCACTTCTTCAGCTGTGCAGCCAGAGAGCCCTGAACAGGAAGCGAACAAGTCTCTGCAAAGTGGGCCGCCAGGCGAGTACTCCCTTCAGGGCCAGGCCCCTCCCTGGACCCCCAGGCCAGCCTGTTAGGGCTCACAGGGAAAGAAGGTGCCTCATTAGCGCAGCACGGGCCTCACACATGTTCAGAGGGAGCAGGGCGTGGAAGCACGAGGTGGACACTCATTTGTGCAGATTCTAAGTCATCACCGACTCAACACAATTGTTTCCCTCATAGACTCAGGAATTTGAAGTCAGCAAAGGTGTACTGCTCTGTTGCTGCATCATCGTCTTGGCCATGACACACGGGCACATCCCATCCTGTAACCTGTCCCCTCTTTCATGGGCTCTGGCTGGGGCAAGCTGTGAGGGCCACAGTGAAGGAAGGTACAGCCTTTCAGGCTGGGTCAGTTCCGGGTGGGCGTGGCTGTGCAGGTGTGCAGGGGCAAGCTCAACGAAGTCACAGCCCTAAAACCTACTTCCGGCTCCTTCCTTCATCTCAGGCAGCCCTGGGCAAATCCCAAAGGGCTTATTTAATGGGGGCACTACGTTTCAACTTCAAGTCCCACCTCTTTGTCCACTGCCAGGACGGTAGGGCATAGAGCTCTTGAAGGGTATAGAGCCCTTGAAGGGTATAGAGCCCTTCAAGCCAGCTTCCCACCTCTACCCTCTTGCTGGGGCCAGTAGAGGACACTCAGCTTTAAATTCACCCTCCTGCTCCTCCCCCTCCCACACCCCCCTTCTGCAAACTCCTTTGCAGAATTAGCAGTATTAGCAGTCAAGAGCCAAGCTTAAGGACAGTGAGTCCTTCAACACAACTTTCTGCCCTTCTCATCAGCTCTGTAGTGTCCCTGAGGGGGTCAGGGAAGGAAGGTGTGTGACTGCAACATGATATGCTACACTCTGCCTGTTTTTCTTGGGGCTCACCACTTTACCCAAAGTCTTCCTTCTCCTACTTTGCTCTCCACTTACTGGACTTGGCATCTGACTCCCTAGCTGTTCATTCTCTGTCCCAGAGAAAGGACAAAAAATTAGGGAACAGACCTAAGACTTGCTGATGGGGCCCGGTGGTCCTGCAGATGAAGTCATTTTCTACTTGCCTTGGTGCTTCCAGGAGGAGTGTGGCGAAGGGGCAGCTGTGGTTAATCCCATTCTTTTAGGGCTGCTTGTGCAGATGCAGCAGGCCAGAGACTGGGTTCCAGGCTATATGGTCACGATTTTACACACTGGGCGTCACCCAAGGCTGGGGCTGCTGTTCGCCAACTACGGTTACACAGTAATAGTGGTTCCCAAAATGTGGCTTCTCAGCACTGTGGGAAAATGGTGCAGTTATATTTCAGAGTAATATGTTAGGTGCAGAAAGGACAGAGAACTTTACCTGGCTCAGCTTCAGGGCAGATGGCAGTGGCTGTGCTGCCAGTGGTTATGGTGGTGGTGTTACAGGGCACCCCAAATCTGTTACAGAACAGGGGGGGAGGGGTACCCCCGAAGCCCTAAAATCCTGTCCGCTCTAAGTGGGTTCTGCCATCCGCCGCAACAAGACAAAACATAAAAATTTAATGAAAAGGGACTTTAATACAGTGAATATACAATACAGAACACAAAGAATATAACTTCTAAATCAAATACCTGAAGTTACCCATCCCCTCGTGGGCAAAAGTCAACCCAAAAGGGGTTGGCCCAAAGCAAGGCCTGAAAGCCTGCCACAAGACTCAAGCACCTTCTGGCTGGGACCCAGGGAAAAGGGTCAGAAATGGGAGGAAAAGAGCAAAATCAAAATCAATATAAACACTGCCATAGTCACCTCCCTACAGGTATCTCACCCACATCTGCCTTAACCAGTCCAGGGTCAGGAAACAAGCGCGGTTTCTTCATCACATGCTTGCTGCTCCATGTGGCTTCCTCAGGTCTCCTCCTTGTTCTCCATCTGGCTTCCTTCTCTTCTTCTCCCTTCTCCTTTTTCTCTGCTCAGCTCCACCCTCCTGCCCCCGGGTGGGGCAGGGAACCTGGAACTTCCCTTTTTCCTAGGGACCACCCTGTTACAGTGGGAGGGTGACAGGGAGGATGTCACTGATACCGTGGTTCTGATGGGAGTGATGGTGATGATAGCAGCTGTGCTGATGAAGGTTTTGTTCACTCATCGATGAAAATAATAATGGCAATACTGTTTTTTAGTGTGCAGTACATTTTAGCGGCTTTATACGATTTTCATACAAGACTATGAAATAGTTATTATATCTTTTGTATTTGAGTAAATTTTTTCGTGAGAGGTTGTCAATTTGGGAAAAAATGTGATATTTTATAACAATTATTTTAAAATATTGGAATAATATGTGCCAGTAGGTTGCTACTATTAATGTTGATCTAATGATAATTAATATTAATTAATATTAATCTGTAAACAAAATAACTATCATCACTGAGTACTATATAAGCACATCCCTGTACTATGTCAAACACTTAAAAAATTATTTTAATTTTTTAAATAATATAATAGCTTATTTTAACATCATTCTGTGCCTTTTTCCATCTCAGCTGTAATCCCCGTGGGCTTCCCATTACCAAATCACCCATGTGCCATCACCATAGTCCACTGCATTTCCCTCCCCCCAACTGTTTCTGATCCCATTTCCCACTCCATCCCATAAAATGTCTTTGGTATATAGCTGCTCATTATTATTGTTACTTTCTCGTCTGGTCCGTTATACTTCTGCTATGAGTGAAACCATCCGCTGCTTCTCCTTTTCTTTCTGGCTTATTTCACTAAGCATGATCTTTTCTAGCTCCACCCATAAAAACAACAATTTTTTATATGTTAAGTATTCTTGTGACATATACAGGTGTAGAAAATAATGATTCAATAAAGTATGTATTGTGAAATGATGATCGCAACCAATCTCATATTAGCTACCATCATACAGAGTTACACACTACAATAAGGTATACAGTGAAGAGTAACCTCAAGAGCCTTCAGAGATAAAGTTCTCTGTAAAGGTCAGATTGAGGTCATGTCAAGCCAACCTCACATTTCAAACTCAATTAAAAAAAAATTGCATTCCTGGCACAAGCCGATCAGCCACGCAGCCAGCAATAGCAGTTTGCGGCTGGGGCAGGCAGAGCTGCTCCCTGGAGCTGCTGGGGGCCCTGGTCCTTTGGCTCCACTGTGGACAGGCTGCACAGGGAGAGCAGACCCCTGCCAGCCCCCAGGGCTCTTCTCTCATGACAGGTACCCTTTGTGGGGTGAATTTCTCTGGGTCTCATGCAGGGGAGGTTCCCCTGTCTCCCAGGGGCATCCCAGGTATCTCAAATTGGAGAGCTTCAGACCTCACATTGAAACATGATGTTATCTTCATCTGGGCAGGCTCCAAACCTTGAATTTATTTATTTATTAAAGATTTATTTATTTTTGCATACAAAAACTGGGTGCAGGCCAGAGGATTGGGGTGGGAGGATTCACCAGAGACAGAGTGGGGAGCAGAACAAGCAGATTGACTGAAATACACTGCTGAGGGGCAATGGGTGGGTCAGGAGAGGTCTGCCACGCCATGTGGGTCACCTCTCTGGCCGGGGATCGAACTTGTGCTGCAGTGGCTGTGGAGAGCCCCATAATGCTGTGCTTTAGTCCCTCGCGCCACCAGGGAGGGCCCTTCAAACTCTTTAGATCCCCCATTCCATCAGTAAAAATATTTGAGCATATTCTCACCTCAGTGGTATCGACACATTGCTGTGTTATCAGGTACAAACTTGATTTCACTCCCTTTCTTTCCATATATGCACAAGATTAATATACATGGTACAAAAGCTCTGCTGTGATTAAAAATTACCCTTTGAGCAATACATAAGAAAACTCCTAGGTCATAGTAAATCATCAACCAGTAGCCATTTCCTTTTTGATATGTCATAAAATAATGGTGACTTCTCACCTCAACCCATTAATTTCACAGATTCTGATAAAACAGTAAATATTAATAAAATTTATGTGAAATTTTCCTATAAATAATAAACCTTTCAACACCTTCTCTGGGATGCACAGGGAGCTCATGGCATGTTAGGACCCCCTGCTTGGGCCAGGGGCAGACTCAGTCTAACCAAATTCACAAAGCTGACCAAACAATGGCCTTTGAGTTTCCATACAAAATGTTGCTAACCTTGGACTTAAACCTCTTCCCCACAGGCAGCTCGGTCCTTTTTACCAGCCGAAAATCAACACAGAGCTTAGCAATGGCTGCCCCATTCTCATCTGAATATCTGCTTCTGATTAGCGTTTCTGGAGACTCTTCTTGGCCTAGATATTAGGATTCCTATTTTGTGAGGCTTTTTTCTCCCAAGATGGGGAGATGAGGGGGTGCAAGGAATCTGTGCCCAGATCTGGGCCAGTCCTGACCTCCATCCCTCCTGGAAGCACCCCCTCCCCTCCCCACCTACCTGTGAACAGGTGTAAAGTGGGGCGCAGCTACAGCTGCTTTTCATCTTGCTCATGTCCACAGTTTCATGCACCTTCTCCCCTTCACGGGGCACCTGCTGAAAGTACCCTCCAGAGCTGGGCTGGACAGCTGCAGGAAGAGGTTTCCAGCAGATGGACCCTTTCTTGTCTGCACACTCCCTGGTCCAGCCAACCCCGTTCTCAGCCTGATTTGCTTGTGAGAGTATTTTCATGGAGTCAGCACCCCTGCAGGTGGTCAGGCCTGTGGGGCTTGTCAGCATCGTGTGGTAACCAAGCACCTCCACCACGACTATTAGCCAAGACCCCTGCCCATCTCTCTGGAGACTCCACTGAGCAACTCCAGGCTGGGGCTCCACTTTTCAGAGAAGCAGGCTTATGTTGGGGCACAGAGCAAGGCTGCTGTGTTCCAGCCACATGGCACAGTGGGGAGGGGGAACCGGTGGGGTGTGGCACCCACAGCCACATTAGCCATTGCTGTGGGATGTAGGTGTGCTCCTGTTTAACAGGCATAGTGTTAGGAGTCCTCTGGGACAAGTCAGCCCTGTTAGGCAGCAGATAAGTTTTCTTTGGTTATACTTTAAGTCAGACTACTGTGCTCCTGGTTGATATCGTGTGGAGGTCTCTGGAAGCTCACTTTATTCAGCTTGTGTTGAACGACAGGGGCTGAAGGGTCTTTCTCTGTTAGCCTTAAAATAATAAATCCCCCTTCAGTTTTCCAAGTTTCCAAAATGCAGTCATTTTTGGCGACAGAGAAAGGAATATAAAAACAGAAGACAGCAGGTTAGAGCACAGCACTGCAAGCTAGCTGCAGCCATTTCAGTGCAAGCTGGATCCCGGCCCTGAAGGTGACCCAGGCTAGGCAGACCTCTCCTGGCCAGCCTGCTGCTCCCCTCAGCAGTGTACTTCGCTGATCTGCCTGTTTTGCTCCCCACTGTCTCTGGTGAATCTTCTCACGGTCCTGCACCTCTGGCCTTACCCCAGTTCTGTATGCATAAATAAATAAATCTTTAAAAACAAAACAGAAGGCAAGCACTTCTCAATCCACAGCCTTACGCCCCTCAGCCTGCCTCCCACCCCTCAGCCTGCCTCCCACCGTCCAAGGTCCAAGGTCACGGTAGAGAAGGGACTTTGTCAGAACAGGTGCAAACATTTCTATGTCGCTGTGAATAGAAACCTGGACAAAGCAGCCTTGACTGTAACCTTGGGCCAGACACAGTGAGCCTGGATTAGACCTGAAACCCTGGCTCATTCCTCCCTGGAAGCAAACACACCCACATCTGGCCACTGCCTTCTTGCTCTGCCTGATCGCTTCTTCCTTAAAGCTCGCGAGGCAGTGTGTCTCATCACTGTCTCTTGGCATTTCTTTGCAGACCTGAAAGACCTTCTGGCGTCATATTCTCCTGGGCCAAGCGCACAGCGCCTACTGAGTGGCCTCCTTCTTCCCTGCCTCCTGCTGCAGCGTGTCCTCCAGGACTCAGGGCTACTCAGCGCGCTCTGAGCTCCTACTCAGCAGTGCCTACACTAGAGGCCTGGCGCCCCGAGCCAGGGTGTGCTACGGAGGCAAACTGGGACTGTGCATCCTCTTCAGTGCTGTGTTGTGAGAGATTTGACTTGTTTCCTATAAACTGAAGCACTAGTTGAATGTTTTTATTGTTTAATAAACATTCTCATGAAAGAGACTCTTTGCTCTGTAAGCCTTATTCCCAGGCATATTATTGAGTCCCACATGCGTGAACATTCAAGGCTAAGGCCTTTCAACCCTAAATAGACCCCAGTGATTTCTGAGTTTACTGAGGGTGGTGCCACCAGATAACAGCTCCCCTTTGAGCACCCTTTGGACCCCACTTACACAGAGGCACAGACATGTGACAACACTTCATGTCATTCGGTCCCCTCACTGGTCTCAGAGTATTTGGGGGGTGTGGGACATCAAACTAGTGTGTCCCCAGCATTATGGTGCTCTGGCCAAGAACAGCTGCCTAACTCCCCCACCCCCAGAACCAAACAAGCATTGCATAGGAGAGGGGGGGAGGGGGGGAGAGCAAGCCTGGAGGCAGACAGCCTGGCACCCGGCTCTTTTTCTCCAGCTTCCTCTAACTGCTCCTGATGACACCCTCTTCTGAGCAATTAGCACTTCATGGGATTATCACCAGCAGGTCTCCTTAAAAGGGGAGGATTCTACAAAACAGAACCCAAGGAAAAGGCAAAGCAGGAGAGGATTGTGTCCCACTGAGGTTAGAGTCCTAGTCTACCCTCCTCTCCCAGGGTCCCAATTATCTCCTGACAACTGGCCAGGCCAGCTGCCAAATCTGGACCCCAACCTGAAGACAAATGTGCTTGAAGAAGTTGGGAAAAATAAAGGGGAGTAAAAGCCCCTTAGTCCTTGTGCTTATGAGCCAGGCAATACCAGCAGGGTGTGTCAGCCTGTGTGGGCAGAGGGGTGGGAACAAGAATATTACAGATTGCTCAAGCAACTGAGTAAATATGGGGGAAAAAAGACTCTGGAATCAACTGTATAGCCTTAATTACTAAATTACTTGATCAAAATACTGATGTTTTATAATCCTTATAGAATTTCATTTGAAATATTCAAAGCTGATTCCATGGAAAGACCCTCAGGCTCAGGTTCACCTCCCATGTCACATAAAGCTGATGTCTGTGGTCACGACTCTCCACACAGAAAGATGTTTAGAGTTTGGTGGGCACAGGGAAGTGGGAATTCCGCTGAATTAAATGCTTCCTACACACCTTTCTCTCTTTCTCTCTCTCTCACACACACACACAACACCACCACCACCACCTTTGAGCCCACTGTAAGCTGGTTCACTGACACAGCCCTTCAGTGGGGAATGGGGGAGAACCAAAATGCTGTGGATGTCCCTGGTGACCCAGAATGTACTCAGGATAGACAGGGCATGCTCAGACATCAGTTGGGAGGGGAAGGTCAGCACATGCAAACTACACCATCTAGAATGTTCACTGTGAGAGTACACACTTTAAGCACTTTATTTTTTCTTAAGATTTACTTTATTTATGCATGCAAGAGCTGGAAGTAGGCCAGGAGTATGGGCGGGGTGAGAGGATTCACCAGAGACAGAGTGGGGAGCAGAATGGGCAGATATATTAAAATCCACTGCTGAGGGAAGCAGCAAGCGAGACAGGAGAGGTCTGCTGTGCCATGAGGGTCAGTTCCCTGGCTGGGGAGAGAACTCATGCTATGGTGGCGCTGAAGTTTTGAATGCTGAGATTTAATCCCTTGTGGCACCAGGGGGACCCTACATTAAATACTTTACATACATGGCATTTTCCCTGCAATTCTTCAGCTTTTTAACCCAGTAGAATTCATAAACCTTATAAAAACAATTGTTCAAAAAAAAAGTCTGTACTGTAAATGTATTGAACTTTCAACCATTGACTATGAAAATTTTAATTCAATGTAATATTCAGATGAGTGTTAATGAATGAAATGAAAGGATAAATTCAGTAAAAGGTTGACTTGAAACTTGAATCATGAAAAAATAATTATTTAGATTTTGAGACAAATAATTTTGGGCGGTGATGGCTTTTGGTAGCAAAGTTGCTGTTAGTGTCACAAACGCTCTATGCAGTGCCTTCTACTGTAGTTTATTATTATAGAAAGTAACCTGTGATAAACTGTGCACATTTACCTTAAGACTTTGATGAATAGTATATTTGTGCTATGTGTAGAATGTTTACAAAATACCTTTCTATATTTTTATGCCGGTATGAAATGTGCTAAAAACTACAGCAAACAGAAAGATATATTGTCATATTTGCTACACTTAGAAAATTGAGCCAGAGAGGTAGTCCACATTTTATAGAGTTTACAGTTGTGGTAAGAAGGAAAGCCAAGATGTGGTCATTATTATTTGAGTCTAGGAGATAAGAATAATTTACATTTTAAGTTAAAAAATTTGGAACTAGTATTAAGTTTCTTTTTAATGGAGTGTTTTCTGATTATAAGCAAGGAAACCAAAATAATATCTCTCTCCCCTCTTCACACACTTCCTGGTTCTCTCTTCTATCTTTCTATCTACTCCTCTGCTCATCCATCTACCTAACAAGCAAACTAACTGAGAAGCCATTAGCTACCTAACATCTTCTCCAGGAATGATGAAAAGTATACACTGCCAGGTTTTTCTATAGTGCTTGGAACACTTAGAGGTAAAAAGGTATTTTCCTTGTAAACGGCACCCAAGTATCCAGAAAGATCATTAAACCGTAGAATCAGAAACTTTTGCAAAACTTTTTTTTTTTTTTTTGCAGGCTTGGGGCTGGAACCTTGACATTTTAAGCATTGCTATCTTATCTGTCTCCTGCTGTTGAGAGCAGATGGGGACAGCCCCCTAGGCTGTATCTCAGGCTGTCCTACTCCTGGGATGAGCCTTCTCACACCCCTGCTTTTACTCACCCTGACAAAGAGTGAAGACACCTCCCTTTGAAGAAAGCAATTCCAAATTCTTTCCATTTTGGAGGAGACACTCTTTCCTTGCCAGCATCCTGACATCTCCTGAGAAGTTGGAGCTGTTCCCACAAGACCATGTGTGCTCTGACTAAGGGGCCCACCCACTGGGTCCCCAGTAGGGCCCCAAGAACAGGGACATGGGTATATACTATACCAGTCACATGGCTTCGGTTCCCTGGCTGCTCACTTCAGTGTCTCCCTGCCTGAAAGGCCTGAATTTCCTTCAGGGCAGAGCAAATACCTGCTGGGAGAGATGCCCTCTTCCCCCTTTCAGCCACAGCACAGCTTCCCCCTTCCAGCTTGGAATCCTTGACTTTACCACAAAAGCCAGTAAGCATTTCCATTTTCCACTATCTGCAGAAGTCACTGGTACATGTGCCTTTGTATCATGCAGACAATAGTCCTGTGACTGTCCTTTCCAACAAATTCAACTTTGAATATTTAAACTTATGTTCCAGAAGCTTTTTTGTACTTTCTTTTCTCACTTTACCTGAACTGTGTGCTCTTGGGAAGGAGAAGTATGGGGCTGTGTCTTCTGTTAGAACTGCCAGACATCCCCTGATCTGACCTATGGAACCCTAATTAGGCCCAAGGAAAGTATGTAGACAGACATGGTTGGCTCCCTAACAGCTGAATATGGTCACGCCAAGCGAGGGTCTGAGCGTGGGAACATATGCAGCTTCTCCACTATGTTACCCACTGGTGAGCATGCAAGTGTTTAACAACTAGGCCTGCAAGGGAAAAAAAAAAAAAAAAAATATATATATATATATATACACACACACATATATATATATATATAAAGCACATTAGTTCACTATCAGTTTATATGGTTTATTATATAAAGCAAATAATGTATAAATAATGAAATATATATAAAACTCAATATTATGAATTCCATATAGCTAACCAGCTTTTGTTGATTTTTACCAACTTTTAAAAATATTTATTTATTTATGCATGCAGAACTGGGGTACAGGCCAGAGACACAGGGGGAGTGAGAGTATTCCCTAGAGACAGAGTGGGGGAGCAGAACTGCTGAGGGGAGCAGTAGGCCAGACAGGAGAGGTCTGCTGGGCCATGGGGTCAGTTCTCTGGCCTAGGGATCGAACTCAGTGGCTGGTGATAGATTGATAGTGCTGAGACTTTGACCCCTGCACCACCAGGGAGGCCTTTGTTTCATTTATTTTAGATTTAACTATTTGGTCCTATGACCAATCATTTTAAAATGATTGTTTTCTATTTCTAGTTCTTTAAAGCCCTAGTTGTATTCAGAACCATGTTTCACTGGGCCTACAACTTTCTCAACAAGTGTTTTGCCAATATTTAGGCTGCCATAGGACCTCGAGTATTGTCTTAAATGCTTGTTCATGCTAGGATGCATTATTTTAGAAATCACCTCAAAAACAAAAAACTCTTTTTGTTTTCTTTATTTACATTTTTTCTTAATAATGTAAGTACATGTAAAAAAGGCGTTAACTACATTATACCATAAACACTATCACTGATCTTAAAACCATATACACAAGCATTGATCAAAAAAGACAAACCCATGCCACTCATGGCAACATGGATAGAGCTGGAAGGGATTTTATTCAGTGCAAAAGTTAGAGGGAGAAAGACAGATAATGGAGAGTGAAACCTATAAGTGGAAGATAGAGAAATCAAACAAAGGGTCAGATGAAACCAAACTTAGAAAACTAACCCTTGAAAGCTGCTTATAGAACTGATGAATACAGAGGGGTTCAGGAGGGACAAGAACAAAGTGTGGAGTCAGCACAAAGGAATGGGGTGGTGGACTGGAGGTGCTTCGGTGGAGGGGGCACTGTGGGAGTGACGCAGGAAAGGGGGTTAGGGCGTACCCTTCACCTCAACATACAACTATATAAACCAGCCATACCTCGATAAATTGATTAAGATTTTAAATATATAGATACACAAGTTAAGAACTCTCTGGCTCGAAACATAAAAGTTTTGATCTGCAAATGAGTGGACTCATGTTCAGGATTTCAGAAGTTCACTTCCAGCTTCGCAGCTCACAGCTGGTGGACTTGTGCC